GCACACTCCCTCCGCCCCTCTGTACCGCCCAGCCAGTTGGCTTTGCCAACCACTGCAGACCGACCACTGGACTGTCACTAAACACAGGCCACAGAGGAGGAGGAGGACGGGACAGATGCAACTTCTCCTGTGGTTGGCCACTGTGTGAGACAGGATGCTGGACTAGGTGGACCACTGGTCTGATGGAAGAGCTCATCTGAAGTTCTTATGAAGGCCTCAACCTCTATGCTCTGTTATGGGTCCTCCAGACGAACTGGTTGACCACTGTGTGAGACTACACAGACCAGAGGTCTCATCCAGCAGGCCTTTTCTGAAGTGTCTTGGTCTCTGTGCCCTGTTGTTGGTCCTCCAGAAAAACTGGTTGACCACTGTGTGAGACAGGATGCTGGACCACATGGACAACTGGTCTGATCCAGCAGAGCTCTTCTGAAGTTCTTATGAAGGCCTCTGCCTCTCTGCCCTGTTGTTGGCCCTCCAGAGGAACTGGCTGGCCACTGTGTGAGATGGGATACTGGGCTAGATGGACCCTCAGTGGTCTGACCCAGCAGGGCTCTTCTGGTGTTCTTCTCAGGGGAAGGCCTCGGCCTCTCTGCCCTGCTGCTGGTCCTCCAGAGGAACTGGTTGGCCCCTGTGTGAGACGGGATATGCTGGACTGCATGGACCAGTGGTCTGAACCAGCAGGGCTCTTCTGAAGTTCTTCTGTATGTTTCATTCCTCTCCTGAAAGCTGTCTTTTCAGCAAGGCCTTCTAACTCTGCCTCAGCTGGGCCTTTCTCTTCCCAGCCTACTGCTAAGCATTGCTCTCAGGGGTCTTTTCCATAGAGGGTTTGCCAACTTGGTCACCTCCCCCCCCAAACCCCCCCTCCCCCAAGGAGCAGTGTCCCTTGCAAACCCTTTCATTGCCTGGCAGCCCAAAGAGGCACTTTGGCCCGTATCTATCTCTTTTTAAAGGCAGCAATGGCTCTATAGCGACTGATGCCCTGGGTGGCAAAGAGCCCACCTTGCATCAGGTACCTCCACAAAAGTCTGGGGGGGGGGAAAGGGTTGCAGGCTCTGAATTGGGAAATACCTGGAGATTTGGCGGTGGAGCCAGAGGAGGGCGGGGCTTGGGGAGGGGAGGGGCTTCAATGAGCTACAATGCCATAGAGTCCACCTTCCAGAGCGGCCATTTCCTCCAGGGGAACTGATCTCTGTCGCCTGGAAATCAGATGGAATAATGGGAGATTATCATACAAAAACTGAGGGTCATCGTGTTAGGAAGATCTGGGAAAGTATATGACACTGTGTATAACAGATGTATGCTCAAGGTAGATCTATTTTGTGCTTTTTCTTTTCTTTCTTTATTTTAATTTTTCTACACTGTTACATAAGTATTGGTGTCAAGGATTCCCAAACATAGGTTTCACCCGAACAATACGTCCAAGTGCAGGTTTTACACTATGTTCAAACATAAATAAGGACGAGTGAATTTCTATTGATGTATTAATATTTTTGTTTATTTCAGTTCCGATGGGGCCCTAGAAAATATGCTGCTATTTTAAGAGTTTTATACTCACAAAGAGAAATTTTTGCGCTTCATGTCCTGTATGTACATCAGGGTCCTTGAAAAAGACTGTATTCGAGACCGGTAAGTTACCAGCAGGGGTCATTTCGTAGAAAAAAGAGGTGCAGGAGCTCATTAGCATAACTCATTTGCATATGCCGCACCCCCTGACATCACCGAAAGTGTGTCAGAAGGCAACACCCACCGCTCAGGCTCCACTGGACTGTTTTGGATTGCTAGCTATGGGGGGGGGGACGTGCAGATCTGTCCTCGCAGAGGAGGGAGAGCTTGCACCTGAATAAAATCTGGTCTTAAAGGTGCCACTGGACTGTTTTGGATTGCTAGCTATCGG